TGAGCCAAACCGGCTAGAGCTGATCCTTAGGTTTAATGTTTCAGTTACCTTTTTCAAGTTCTCATAACTTGGCAGTAGTTTACTGGCTGTTATCTGAGACCCTAAAATTCATCCAAGCTGTCCTGAGAGTCCCACAAGGCAGGGGAATGACTACCTGAGCCAGAGACTGTGTCATCATCAGGTTCTTCTTCTTTAACCAGAGGGGCTGGAAAGGCTTTCAGACACACAGACACATAATTCTGGCCATACAAAACCCTCAAAGTTTCTCCTGTCTTCCACGCAATCAAAGTCTCCTTCAGAACTTGAAGTTTACCCTTGCAACTCCAGGCACTGAACTAAAAGCTAACCAAACTTGGTTTGATTTGGCAAATTTTCTCTTAAAACGCTCAGCACTTTTCTTACTTATGCCCACCAAGAGTTATTTCTGAACTACTGTGTGTTTTTTTCAGAAATTTCTGAAGCTTCTAATTTTTCTGGTAAAGGACTATTTGAAGGCATCTGAATATTTACTTTCTGTAAAAGAAGGTCACAAGAAACAGCTTTCTCCTATCTAATCTGCAATTGCCTAACTGCTCAATAACATCTAATAATGTTTGCTCTTTGTTTTCTTGCTTGAAGTTAGTTTTTTAACCAGCTTTCTTTTTCATAATGCTGTGTGTGTGTGTGTGTGTGTGTGTGTGTGTGTGTGTGTGTGAGAGAGATCAGTTGTGGCCTTCTACCCATTGCATTTGTTCTGTTTCCTGGTAGAATGGAGGAAACAAAGTCTTTCTCATTATCACTAACAGTATCACTTGGAGTTCTAGTACAACTAGGCTCATACTGCTTCACAAAATGGCCAGGATTGCCAAGATCTGGTGTTTTAATGGCCTTATTGCATAACTGTACTTCTTGTCCAGAACGGCCACTTTGTACTTCTTTTAGCAGATGAAAATCAGGGTGCCTTTCTTCTTCTCGAACCCACACTGCAGTTTTAGGAATTTGTGCTTCACAAAATTTAGATGCTTTATAACAAAGATTGTTGCACAAATACTTTCATAGACTTTATTGGTTTTGGTAGACATGTTATCTCTTTGTTTTGGTACAATTCCTAGCTTCTTGTGACAATAAGGGCTAACCACAGAGCTTGATAATAGAACATTCATCCACGATATTGCTGTAATGAGCCAGTGTGATAAACCTCCCACACTCCTTTAAGAATTCTGTAATATTCTCTTCTACAATATGTAGAGCTTTTCTCTTAAACTCAGACTTCTTTCTCATAGTCTCTTCTAGTTCTGCTTTTCTTTTAGAAGCACCTTGTTTCAAGTACTTGTCTGTGTAGTATCTGCACTAGACTCATCCATGGGGATCCTTGTCGTATGGTCAGTACTGACTCAGGTACCTCCCTCTGAGGTTCCACCTCCCCTAGCTTGGTGCCAGGGGAGCTACAAGGTCCAGGCGCAGAGAGACTAAATTCTTTATTGAATCAGTTCATCTTCTTTCCTTTTTTTTATTTTAAAAGAATAAGCAATAACTTATCCAAGATTGTAATATTCTTAGTTATTTGCTATTGGATATCTGATTAAAACAAATTTTATACCTATCATCAGGATACTAGAGTCAATTCTTTTCTGTTTTTTATTAATCCTTACCTGTGGATATTTTTCCATTGATTTTTTTTTTTTTTTAGACAGAATGGAAGGGAGGAGGAGAGACTGAGAGAGAGAAACATCGATATGAAAGGGACACATTGATTGGTTACCTCCCGCACACCCCCTCAAAGGGTCCGGGATCAAGTGTGCAACCAAGGTACCTACCCTTGACCAGAATTGAACTCTGGACCAACGCTCCAACCACAGAGCCAAACCAGCTAGGTCAGGGTCAATTCTTTAGTACAATTAAATATTTATATGCACAATGCTATCTCTACCTGGGTTCTGATTAATTCATTTCAAAGCTTAGTAAAAGAGTCCTGTGTTGATCTGATATTAACAATTCCCATTGTTAACAATCTAATTCCCATTAGAGTTAAAGGTCTGCAATCAAAGGTCAAAATAACATTCTGTGGCCCTATTTTAGGCTCACTTTACATAATCTAATTTTTCCTTCGCTGTAAGACCTTAAACATTTTTGAGCAACATTTGTCTTTTCCTCATGGAAGAACTATGGCTCTGAAAGACTACTTGCTGCTCAAAATTCACCCAACTATAGAGTTAGAGCCAGGAATTCACAGCAATCTCAGATCACAGTGGATCCCAAGGCAAATATTATGACTTGTTAGTTGTTTGTGCTGCGAATCTATTGAGCTGGGAGTGAGAGAGATGAATTAGGAAGCACGTTTCAAAGCATGTGGAAGAATATGAAAAGGTAATTAATATTTGCTGAATGAAAGTGACTCAACATGAGGATGAAAATTGTGTTAGTTAATAAGTGTTAAGTTCAGTAACAGAAAAAAAAAAATCCGAAATATCATTTTAACTTTCTGTGTACCCCTTTATTTCAACAGTTTTTTATTCCTGGAAATTCAGGGTTGGGTCTTACCTCAAATCCTTAACGCTATTGTATAGAATAAAGGCCTCTTAAGAAAAGAAAGTCAAAGACACCTACCCCCTACTGCATCGCCTCTAGTGTCCAGGAAATAGTCATTGCTCATAAGTGTGTGACTAGACGTGGCCATTATTTAATATCATTCTCCCAGACAACTCAGCCCAACCTGAAGGCACAATGGACCACTTTCTCTCCTCAGTGCTTCTGCCATGTTCTTCCTTCTCTCTATAATACCACCACCCACCCTTACTGGAAAGGTTTTGTTACTATTTCTGTTTGCTTATTTTGTTGTGTCTGCTTTTCTTGTCACTCATGAAAACGAGTAAAATAAATTGTATTTAATTGTGAGGAAATGACAATTTTCAGTAAATGCCATCAAGTTCTAGAGCACTGATTGCTGAGCTAATCATTCTTGCTGCACGCAGAGAAGAAGGCCTGCAGCTCTGTGGCACTCCAGCATCCTGCTCTCATCCCTCAAGCAGCACCTCACCCAGTCTCTCAGGCAGCCCCTGGAGAGCACACTGGGGTAAGGTCACCGGAGCTCACTTGTCTCAACTGAGTCATGGTTATTTGTGAGAGTTTCCACATTGTGTGCTGCATGTCACAGTGCCCCTTCTGTCACTGCGCCCCTTCCTTCCCATCGCTGAAAGAATAGTCTTAGATTTAATGTCCTCATTTTCACACAAAAACAGTTCTTTTCATCCCTTAAGATTCAGATAAAAATGCCCTTTCATTCTAGTACAGTGGTTCTCAACCTTCTGGCCCTTTAAATACAGTTCCTCATGTGGTGACCCAACCATAAATTATTTTCGTTGCTACTTCATAACTGTAATGTTGCTACTGTTATGAATCGTCATGTAAATATCTGATATGCAGGATGGTCTTAGGCGACCTCTGTGAAAGGGTCGTTCAACCGCCAAAGGGGTCGCGATCCACAGGTTGAGAACCGCTGTTCTAGATTCTAGAACAGTGATGACGAACCTTTTGAGCTCGGAGTGTCAGCATTTTGGAAAACCCTAACTTAACTCTGGTGCCATGTCACATATAGAAATTTTTTGATATTTGCAACCATAGTAAAACAAAGACTTATGTTTTTGATATTTATTTTATATATTTAAATGCCATTTAACAAAGAAAAATCAACCAAAAAAATGAGTTCATGTGTCACTTCTGACACGCGTGTCATAGGTTCGCCATCACTGTTCTAGAAAGACCTGGAAGATTTTTCTGCTGTGATCTCAGAACACTTCACTTGCAGCCCCGTTTTATCCAGTCTCATGTAGCTGTCCTTTGTATCCATGTGTTTCTCAATTGATATTCAGCAACTTTAAGTTAGATATAAGGTTTTCTCTTATTTCATCATCCTATAATTCTACAGGGTGCCACCATGTGTTACCTAATAAAGAAGAAGCCAGTTAAGACAGCTATTGACTCAACATCACCCTAAAATCATATTAGCTGATTCTCTTAGGTTATGAATATCCAAAATTGTACCTGCCCCACTTAATCTCAAGAAGAAAGGAAATTAGACTCTATTGTAAAGTATGTGAACCAATTTTGGTGGATTAATTCCATTCAACCTAGTAGCCTCTTTCATTGACGTAAAATAGAGCAAAGCCAAATATGAAAAATTGCTTTATATTTTGATACTGTGCTACCTAGTTGCTGATATATTGATATATATATATTGATTTCAGAGAGGAAAGGAGAGGAGAGAGAGATAGAAACATTAATGATAAGAGGGAATCATTGGTCAACTGCCTCTTGCAGGCTTCCTACTGGGAACTGAGCCTGCAACCCAGGCACATGCAAGGGAAACTAACTGTCACCTCCTGATTCATAGGTCAACACTCAAGCACTGAGCCACACTGGGTGGGCTGTGTTTTGTTGTGTGCTTTTTTTTAAAAAAAAAATTTTTGTTTTTAACAGAACATTTCCCTAACCAAGGACAGAGTCAGTTTACTCCATTATTGTTAATTTTCATTTCTTGGTCATTGATTGTTTTTGTTTGTTTGTTTTGTTTGCTAAGTCTTATTCACATAAAATCCCTCATAATATACCAAATCCCCAAATTGGCAAGTATCATGCTATAAACTCAGTGTTATAAAATCAAAGATATTGTAATAATATACTGAAAAGGAATTGTTTTAAGCTCAAAGTGCTTCGAGAACAAGTAAATGCATCTGCCTATAATTTTCATTCAGTCAATCTATTGTTCAGAGAAGTAGATGACAGTAAAAGCATCCTGTAAGTATTTTGTTCCGAAAAGGAGAGGAAACATAAGGAATCTGAGACTAGGGTAGGCTGACAAGTTGATTTAGTAGCACGGGGAACCTGCTGTTTTTCAGACAATTGCAATGGCTCTATTATATAATGGAACAATGATTTTCAAAGAGTTATGGTAAACACTTGCAGTAACAAAAATAGATTAATAAATTGATTAAGGAAAATAAAACTTTTTCTAGAATTCTCACTTGGCGGGAGATCCTGCCTTTTGGGAATATGAAAATACTCCCTGAAGTGCCTCAGCTTATCTTCTTCATCAAGACGGAGGGCGACCCTCTCATCTGTAGGGAGACATCGAAGTTCAGATGCCACGCGTTGCACTGTGTCAGCTGGTAACTCAAGAGGTAAAGGCTCCATTACAAGTTGTTCTCTAAAAATGAAAACAGAAATGAAAAATAATAAAGCCGCCATAATTTTTTGCAGAAAATTAGCCCTTTGAGTAAAACACCTTATGTTTTGAACTAAGAGCCTCATCTTCCCAACCTCAGAAATAATATTGTTACCTGAACAGCATTAAATTCTGTGCCTGAGTTTTTCTCATGTATCAAACCAAAAAAATAATAGTCCCTTAGGGATGTTGTAAGGTTTGAATTAGGCAATGGTAGTTTCAATAAATGCTCGCTTTTTTTTTTTTATTTTCTGGAAAATGAACCAAATTAGTGACTGTCTAACATATATAAATAACTTCGCCTTTTCCTCTAGATGCCACACTAGAAGGTAACAGTTAAAGATGCTTTTGGGAAAGTGTAGGGAACAGCACCCCACCTGCTTATCCCTCCCCTATCCCACCTGCAGTAGCCCACCTTAGTGATTCTTTGATGATAGTTTTAACACTACGGAGATATATACAATATAACCTTAACAAATTCTTTACTGCGAATGAAATGATGTTGATAAAAAAGGTGCTTTACTTTAAATAATATTGGTATTTTTTTGGTATATGAAGACCAAATAGGTCTACTTCCTGCTGATAATGAGAAACGTCTCTTTCACTAGTATAGATAACAAAACAGGACTTTGTGGTGTTTCTTGAAACCACATTTGACTCCTTTTAATCATCACTGAACACTCCCCACCTTTTTGGAAAGAAAACTTAATCTTTCTGAAGGGGATAAATAACAATGAACATTTAGATACATTTAAACTTCACACAAATTTTATGTTTTCTATATTTCTCAAAATTTTAGTTTTTTGAAATTGAGTAGAATAGTCTTTGAGAAAAAAAGTGTTTTTTCCTCAGGCCAGTTTGATTTATCTATTTACACTTTTGCCTGGCTTTGCTTCTATATCCCTCCATTCACTTTCTTTTTCAATAAATATTCATTGAGTGCCTATCATGTTGCACCATGCACTGGTGGAACAGCAATTTATAAGATAGTATATAAGTAGTAACTCTTGTGGAGTTTACATTTTAGGAGGCAGAATGAAAAATAATTAAATTGTATAATAGCAGTTAGTTTCAAGATCTATGAGTAATCGGATAGAAAGTCACTGGGGTATGGAATAGTTAGTTATTGGGAGCTCAAATACCTCTTTAGGGCAAGGCTATAGAGTCACTTCTGAATCATGTTATGGAGAAGAGCTGGACCTGGAGGAAGATAATAGCAAGTGCAAAGGCCCTGAGGACTTGACCTGTTCAACTAATGGACTAAGAGAACTAAGGGGAGGGAGAAACTATGATGCAAGAGAGACACTGGCAGAAATTATTTATGAAGAACTTGGAAGGCCAGAAAGTTTAGATATTTTTCTCAGTTAAATGAGAAAACATTGGAATGTCTTGAGTAGAAAAATGATATGATATCATTTTGCATTAAATAAAAATCACTTTTTCTGCTCTCTGGTGAATTATTGTTTAACTGAGAGGTAAATTTAGGCTATTTTAACAGTTCAGGGGATAATAACAGTAGCTTAAATGTGGGGAGGGGAAAGGTAGCAAGAAATATCTGGATTTAATAATAAAATTCTGGGACAAAAATCTAGAAAATCTATGGTAAAGACAGGAAAGTAGATAACTTTAAGCTTTGGGAGAAATTCCTAAAGAAATACCCAGGGAAGAAACATTGTGAGGAGAAAAATCAGAGTTCTATTTAGAACATGTTAAGTTTGAGATAAATACTGACCATCCAAGAAATTATCAATCTGGCTCTTGAATATTTAAGCTCAAGGGAAAATCGGATCAGAAGACATATGTTTGATATTTTTTAACCCATAGAGTGTAGTTAAGACCTAAAATTCCTAGGCACCAACCTAAACAAACATAGATAAGGCTCTAGAATAACAATTGAGTTATCTTTCTTCCACTCTTCACTCTCCTTCCTCTTATCCCAACACACACAGTGTTAGGCAATAAAGAATGCCATGTCTGAGTTTATACAATGCTAGTAAAACAAACATTCTTCCTGTCCTCTAAGCTTACATTCTTCTGCTTACTTGACCTCTTCCTTTCTCAGATGCCAATGGTCCCCCTGATGAGCCATCCTTTATGTTCCCAGATAAGGGTACTAAGTTTCACCTGACATTGTTTTTAGTTTTGATACCAGTAATGCCTTTCAGTTGCTGCAGTTCATGCTTTTGAACAAAACCCGATGATTTCTCCATTGATCTTGATGGTTCTTTCAATATCTGACCATATAAATTATTTGCTCTCTTCATGAAATTTTCTCTCTGTGATTTTCCTTATGCCATTCCTATCCCCCAAAATGTTCCACTTCCTCTTGTACATATTCAGGTCCTAGTCCTCTTCCAATGTTCTAGCTCCAATGGGCCTTTTTCTTGAGGTCTGCCATGGTGTCTCAGCTAAAATAGCCTTTCCTCCTCTGAACACCTATAAAACTTATGAGCACACATCTAGTAATAAACAATACATTCTGTCAGGTACTGTATTTATTTAGATATATATGTGGATGGGAAAGATCAAATATGCTTGTCGTGCTGACAACTTGATTCTAAATGGGTCTCTACCTCTATTTTTCTGATGAAAGAAACTGCTTTCTGGGTAGAGATGACTATAATTCTGCCACTTGACATTATCAATGGCCTGGTCATTATTAATTAGACCTCTCCTGGACACTTGAGCCACTAAAGACAATGGTTTCGTCAATGGCCTGTGAATGATTGGCTGTGAAAGCTCTGTCCAAACAATCATGACAGTGTTTAGCCGAGCATGTAATCAAATTCATTCAGGAATGAGCTGTGAGATATAGTTCTTCAGTCAGTTAGAAACAGGAGCAAAATTTAAAAGAATCAGAGGGAGAAGCAATAAAGTGGTAGAGTATAGAAGGTGTATTGTCATGGATGAGTCATTTTTGAGAGTCATACAGAACAAATGATTGTTAAAGCACAAAGTGATTTCAATAGTAAGAATCTGTTAAAAAATAGTTGGGGATGGAGCAGCTATTGTTCTTGAGAGCATGATAGGACAAGTCAGTCTGGAGACTCATTGAATCCTTCCATGCAACAAAGGATGTGGAAGGCCTGGGAGGCTGCCTGCCTTGCTGTTCTGAAAACCCCATGAACTGTGTTTCTACCTTACTATCAAGTGTGTCTTACTATAACCCATTACTTAGGGCAGCTTGATTTAGTTGCTGGTCTACCTACTGAACTGTATTCTACTGTCGGGGGTGGGGGAGGAAGAGAGGGGCTGAATCTTATCTTTATAGTCACCCTATTATTGAGCAGTGCCTTTTAGATAGAATTTTCCTCTAAATTGGCAGTTTAATAAGAATACACAAAATAGCTGGGTGAATTATTTGATGTGACAAATTACATGTTACTAGAGTGTCTCCCTCTCCTATTCCAACTACATGGGGATAGAGAAGCACTTCGATGAGACTCAGAAATACTTTTAAGAGAGCTTGTCTTATATTTGTGACTTTCTTTGGAATCAGCATTTTGAGGGTTCATTGGGGCTAACTTAAAACTCTAAATGAGGTTCCTAAATTAATATACAGATTATTTTGTTACCATTATATCCCAGTAAAATTCAACTTTCCTTATTTAAAAAAATATTAATATTCATTCATTAGCCTCTTTATAGTTGTTTTTTATTCAGTCCTTTTAATAATCCTGAAGGATCAGTATAATTTCCCCCATTTGAGGACTAAACTCTGGAATAAAGAGAGTAAAAACAGAAACAGAAAGGTAATAAAGCTTATTCTGTGGACTCACACTTTGTCTGAGCAGCTGAGTCATTGGTGCTGCCTGCATCATGGCATGTGTGTGGGATATGCAGAGCAAAATTCCTGCCTAAAGACTTGAACCTTTCACTTTATTTTTACATGCCTCTTGCTCCCTAATTTATTGTTATTATTTACTATTTCTTTAGTCCATTCCCTTTACCTCTCTTTACTTCTTGTTTCAACTTTGTACTCAGTCTACAAAGCATCACAGGATTTGAATCCATCTACTCTTTTTAAATTATCATTTTATTGATTGATTTTAGAGAGAGAGAGAGAAGAAGGGGGGAGAGAGAGAGAGAGAGAGAGAGAGAGAGAGAGAGAGAGAGAGAGAGAGAAAGAGAGAGAAACATCAATTTGTTGTTCTACTTATTTATGTATTCACTGGTTAACTGTTGCATGTGCCATGACCAAGGATTAAACCCACAACCTTGGCATATAGAGATGATGCTCTAATCAACTTAGCTACACTTCCAGGGTTCCATCAATTCTTTGTAATCAACCCTTTGCATTCAATGCCGTGATACCACCGTGCCCTTATTACAAAGAAGCAATTTATTAACTCACTACAGACCCGGTGCATGAAAATTTGTGCACTCTGGGGAGTCCCTCAGCCCAGCCTGCACCTTCTCATGGTTCAGGGCACCTCAGGTGATGCCCATCTGCCAGCTTACACCCGTTCCCTGGGGGATGGGGCCTAAGCTGGCAGTCAGACATCCCTCTGGCAGCCTGGGAGCCCTTTGGGGATGTACACCTGCCAGCTTAGGCACACTCCCCACAGTCAGACATCCTTATTGCTGCCAAGGAGGTGGGAGAAGCTCCCACCAGCACTGCTGCACTTGCAGCTGTCAGCCCAGCTTGTGGCTGAGTGGAGCTCCCCCTGTAGGAGCACTTTGACCACCAGGGGTTAGCTCCTGCATTGAGCATCTGTCCCTGGTGGTCAGTGTGCATCATAGTGGCTTGTAATTCCTAGTTATTCCACCATTAGGAACATATTACCCTTTTTAAAATATAGGATAATAACTGCTGCTTAATTCTGCATTGAACCCACCAGCTAAGAAAATTAGTGCTTTGTAAACCACAATTTTATGCTTTGTTTAAGTTGACTTTTGCAAATAAATTGACATGCTGTTATTTTGAAATAAATTCAATTCAAGTTAAACAGAACTCCAATCTTATGTTTTACATTTTTAGTACTGATTTTATGAAGAAGGTGGAAATATATACAGATGGTCTCAGGCAAGTCACCTAACCTTTTTGTATTGCAATGTTATATAAAACTAAGTTAAATATTACTTTCTTCAGAGAATCATGATTAAAATAAAATTAGTGAAATACTTTATAAAAAGATAAAATATATTCTTGTAATATATTTCAATATTAATACTTTGTGATGAAAATTGCCACTTTACCCTCAACTTAGCTTCTGCAATTTTGTAAATCTTATTTTCACAATATTATTTAGACAGCTAAAACTTCATAGCTAAAAAATTTATGATCATAACAATTGTTGTTTCTATGCAGTTTGGAGCTCAGGATCTTCTCGTCACCCATGGGTCTAAAGTTAAACAGTTAACTAGATGATATGAGTACCCTGTGGTTAATCTTTACAGCGTTTCAGGTATCACGCCTGAAATGAGCAAATTGCACGTGTGGGTTCAAAGTTTGGAAACTGCTAAGCAAATTATAAAGTGTGTAGCTTTTCATTGTGAAAGAGGGAAAGAAAATGTTACTTATTTATTTTTAATTGAATATATTGGGGTTACATTGGTTAATGACATTATATAAGTTTAAGTGTACAATTCTATAATACATCATCTGTATATTGTATTGTGTACTCACCACCCCAAGTCATGTCTCTTTCTGTCACCATTTATTCCTCTTTTACCCTCTCCTGCCTCCTGCAACCCCCATTTTCTCCTGGTAATGACTGTACTGTTGTCTGTCCATGAGGATTTGTTTGTGTGGGGGTTTTTTTTGTTGTTGTTCTCTTTTTCCTTTTAATCTTTATTGTTGAAAGTATTAGATAGGTCCTCCTGGGGGGAAATGTTATTTAATATATGTTCATAGAGCAACAGTCTTTAGCCCTATCACTGTTTGAGAAATGAATGACATCACTCTGTCACAAGTGCATATTTCATATCTAAGATTATATTAATTACATGCTGATCTTCACATTAATAAGATTAATGCATTTACTCCAATTTACTACTTAAATAACACCCCACCTTTTTAAAAATAAAAGCAGGAATGAAAAAGATACAAACTAAAAACACTTCTTGCTATGTAGAAAAAATGTATCAACTTTCTATTCTTAGGCAAATATTTCATAAAACGAAACAGAAGCAGCCTGTTTAATAATAGACATTTTCACTTCTCTAAATAAATATTTAATGACTAAAGTACCACAAGACAACTACAGAGTTAGCAGAAAACAAAAAACTTACAGCTTATTGAATGAATTTTGATCTAATTTTGCCATTTAAACTTAAGTAACTAGAGGAGTAACTTTATTAATCATAAGTAATAATCTTTTAGTACGTGAATTCAATGAACTATTGACATGAATTCTTTTTCACTACATTGGTAAAGATCTCTCTTCATTTGACACAAAATTTTACAAACTGTAGAAATGATCTCTGGAATTTTAAAGGAACAGCCATTAAGGAATTCCACTACTTATATGAATATAATTTAGGGGGGGGGGGGCGGGAAGGAAAAAGAACCTGGCAAAAGAAGCTTCTAAAGCATCATGACAAGGATATTAGAAGAAAAAATATCCCTTTGGAAAAATCACTGAATATATATTTGTGTACAAAGTATATACCAGTGTCTCAATGCTTACCGGCAATCTGATGGGGTTTGTTCACAGCTCCCGGTGTTTTTTAAAGACACACACACCAAACAAAGCTCTTAAGAGTTCCTTACAGACTTCTAGACCAGACCTCAGAGAGAAATTCAAGGCACTTCTGCTCAGCCTCCACCTTGTGGGGAATTTATGAGTTTATTTTAGTTCCACCCCATCTAAGCGATTGTAAATCTCCAGTCACAGATAAACACGTAAGCAAAATGCTGCTTTTGCTTTCTGTTTCAAATACTACGAGTTCTGCCCCGGACTCTTTCCTAAAAGCAGCTCTGCCCTTTAGACTCCAGCAAACACTTCCTTGCCCTCAAACTAGACAGATCTCTGGGCCTGTGAGTTATATCCTATCCTAATATATATAAAAAGCTAGGTGCCATCATGACCAAATAGGCAATTGGTCACCATGAAGTGCATGGAGCACCTCTCGGTCCCCCACCTCCCATGGCCCCCAAGCTGGTCACCATGAGGGGGTGGCTAGCGGCCGGGTGGGACTGGGGACTGTTGAGCGGCAGTGAGGGCTGCTTGACGGGGGGTGGCCGTGAGATTAGCAGAGCAGTCACCCAGAGGGCAGCAAGTTTCGCGAAGCAGTCTTGGGACAGGGGAGTTTCGAGGAGCAGTCACAAGGTGCGGGGAGGGGGGACTTTTGTGGAGCTTCCAGCGGCAAGCTCCATGGGGTGACAGCAAGCTTCGCTAACAGTCCAGGAGCAGGGGGAGCCTTGCAGAGCAGCTGTAGGATTCTCCAAGTGTCCTGGGGCGGGGAACTTCATGTAGCATCGCAAGGTGGCAAAGGCCATGCAACCGAGGCCAGGCTAGGCCTCGGGACCCTAACTGCACACGATTTCATGTGCACTGGGCCTCTATTACTTATTACTAATCTACACTAATAAAAGAGAAACATGGTAATTGGAGTACACCGCTACCCTTCCCATTGGCTAATCCCCCTGTCACTCACAGAGTAGGGCAGAGATATGCAAATTAACTGGCAGCCAAGATGGCAGCCGGCAGCCAGGCAGCTGATGCGAACAGGGAGGCTTGCTTGCTTCAGTGACGGAGGACTCCAACGTTCCCCGCCTGACTTGCCGGCCTCTCAGCTGCAACTCTCAGCAACTATGTTGCGAATAAAGAAGCTAAAAAAACCCCCCAGAAACCTGCTTTACTCAGCGGAGCTTCAGCCAGCCGGACCGCAACATTGTATCAAATACAGATGGTAAACAAAGGCCAGAAACCTGTTTTCAGCAGCCGAGGCCTCAGAGCTTAAGCTGGCCCAGAATAAAAAAAAAAAAAGAAAAGAAAAAAAGGAGCGGTTGGGAGCTTCAGTCACCCGTCAGCCTGAAAACAGCCCTCAGCCCCTCACCCAGACTGGCCAGGCACCCCAGTGGGGACCGCCACCCTGAAGAGTGTGTGACCAGCTGCAAACAGCCATCATCCCCTCATCCAGGCTGGCCAGGCACCCCAGTGGGGACCCCCACCCTGAAGGGTGTGTGACCAGCTGCAAACAGCCATCATCCCCTCACCCACACTGGCCAGGCACCCCAGTGGGGACCCCCACCCTGATCCAGGACATCCTTCAGGGCAAACCAGCCAGCCCCACCCATGCACCAGACCTCTACCCTATATAGTAAAAGGGTAATATGCCTCCCGGCACCAGGATCAGCGTGACAGGGGGCAGCGCCCAAACCCCCTGATCGCCCTGCAGCTCTGTGTGTGACAAGGGGCGGGGCCCCAACCCCCCTACCCCCCACGGGCCCTGCTTTGTGTGTGATGGGGTAGAGCCATAACCTCCCCATCCGCCCTGCCCTGAGTGTGACAGTGGCGGCGCCCCAACCCCCTGATCGGCCCTGCTCTGTGGGTGATAGAGGGCGGCGCCCCAAACCCCTGATCCACCCTGCCCTGAGTGTGACAGGGGGCGGTGCCCCAACTCCCCTATCTGCCCTACTCCGTGAGTGACAGGGGGGAACTCCCCAACCCCCTGATTGACCCTGCTCTGTGCATGACAGGGTATGGAGCCCCAACCCCCCTGATGGGCCCTGCTCTGTGTGTGACAGGGGGCAGCGCCCCAACTCCCCAATCGGCCCTGCTCTGAGCCCGACCAGGGGCTGCACCTAGGGATTGGGCCTGCCCTCTGCCACCCGGGAGCAGGCCTAAGCCAGCAGGTCGTTATCTCCTGAGGGGTCCCAGACTGCAAAAGGGCACAGGCCGGTCTGAGGGACCCCCCCTTCCCCCGAGTGCACAAATTTTTGTGCACCGGGCCTCTAGTAAATAATAAGTAGGGTATCCTCATTTGTGTGTGAGCTGAACTAAGGAGTTTGTCCAGGAGCCAAATCCCAAAATTTGCATCCCTTCCTTGCTTTAGGCTTTGGTAGATTAAGGACTAGAGAAAATTTCTTTCCCAACTCTGCAGATAAGGGAACTTGGACCATTGAGGCAGAAACCCACTGTTAAAATGCATTGTGAGCTTCCATGTTGAAGGCAGCGTTTGACATTTAATGGATAAACATTTTAGTCAAACATTTAAAATAGGTTCTAAATATACTTTATTGCCAGTGTGTGTGTGTGTGTGTGTGTGTGTGTGTGTGTGTGTGTGTGTGTTTTAGAAACTCCTAGATCATAAATCTAGACAGTCAACAAGACAATCAAGGACGAAAAAGAGTTTCAAATCATGTTGAAAGTGTTGGGGTAGAAATAGAATATTGGGGACTAGCTGTAGTTATGGGAAATATTAATCATGCTCCGTTAACCATGACTGCCTTGTGTTTGTTAAAGAAAGGACATTCTAACCTGGCTGGGAGTTATATGCCTTCAGAACCTGGGAGTCAACCTTGGACCTGGGAGTCAACCTTTGAATGTTGTCCTTTCTCATTCAAGAACTGCCTATTACCATGGAAAGATTAGCAACCTTGTTGCCCAAAAAATGGAGTCTCACCCCAGCCTGAATTGCCTACTTCCCCATTCCTGTAATCCCTGCTTCCCCTGTGTCATTCTTGTTCTACCCTAATTAAGCAGCTGGCTTATGGGGGGCTGTAGAGCAGATTTTTGTGGATGACCTGCTGCTCCGCCAGCAGTATTGGAATAACTGCTCATATATGAATCAACCCTGTCTGCTTAATTGGCTTAAGTAGTGACAGGCAGCACAGGCCCATTGATTATCCAGCTACAAAAGTTGCCTACGAAACTTTGATCTTTTGAAGAATGCCCTTTTAGTTATAAAAACCAAGATCAAAGAGTTTCAGAATTAAGAACAAAGATAGAAAGTAAACCTGCATAATTGAATCACTTGTACACCTAAGCCTTGTTGAGCTCCTAGAACATACCAGGTAAAGCAATTTTTTATTCAACCATATATATCATGTGTTTGCTATATAACCCTGGACAATCCAACTAACTCATGCTAAGACTCAGTACCACACCTTACAAAAGGACACATGAAAGTACCTTTCCTCACAATATTACTAATATACACTGAGTGGCCAGATTATTATTACCACCTGATGTTTGTAGGCAAATTAGCCGTATACTGCATTGTATGGGATATGGAAGCTGAAGGCCTGTTCGAACACCTTTGCTGTCTGCAGTTACCAAGACAAAATGTCTCCAATTTGCATAGGAATACAAGGATTGGACAGTCGAGCATTGGAAAAAAGTCATGTGGTCCGATGAATCACGTTTCCAGTTGCATCATGCAGATGGCAGAGTGAGAATTTGATGGAAACAGCATGAAAGCATGCACCCCACATGCATGAGTACAACCCTTTCAAGCTGGTGGGGCAGTGTTTTGGTTTGGGGCATGTTTTCCTGGCATGATTTGGGCCCTTTAATTCATGTGGAACAACGTCTGAATAGCACAACATACCTAAGTGTCATTGCTGATCAAGTTCATCCTATCATGTTGATGGCGTATCCTAATGGAGATGGCTTCTTCCAACAAGACAATGTGCCATGCCACGGTGCTCATATTGTGCAGGAGTGGTTTCAAGAACATGAGGGAGACTTTACCTTGCTTGAGATCAATCCAATCTCAATCACCAGATCTCAATCCAATTGAGCATTTGTGGGACGAAGTTAAAAGAGCCATCAGGCAGCTGGTTCCACAACCATCAAATCTCACAGAACTGGACAGTGCTATTCATCAGGCATGGTGTCATATTCCTCGCATCACCTTTCAACATCTCATGGAGTCAATGCCAAGAAGAATTGCCTCAGTATTGAAGGCAAAAGGTGGCCTAACGAAGTACTGCTGGGGTGGTCATAATAATCTGGCCACTCATAATAATATATATCCCACGTTCAAAGGCTGTTAAATTGCATTGTTTACCCATATCTTCAGAAAAAAATCACTTCTACTGTCATGGTAAAACAACCTGCTTCCCTATTTATATGGTCTGGCCCTCTAGCAACTTCAGTGTGAAATTATAGCTAATTTGCCCACAAACGTCAGATGGTCATAATAATCTGGCCACTCAGTGCATGTATAGCCAAAGTACCAAGACATGTAAGACAGTGAATAGCCCTTTCTTTTTTTTTTTTTAAATTAACCAGTCTGAAAGTGCTGGGTGCCCTCCCAACTCTAAAGGAAGAGGAGAAAACACATGCAACTTTTTAAAATTGATTTTTCAGAGAGAAGAAGGGAGAGAGAGAGATTGTTTGTCTCCTGCAGTCATGGAACCAGGAATCAGACCAGGAAACTAGGTACATTTCCTAAAGGGATCAAACCAGCCACTGCCTGGTATATGGGAGTGATGCAGAATTTTTAGACTGGAACACCCGGTATTCCCCTGGACTGGAACCTGGATTCTTTGTCTGCCAGAGTCAAAGGATGAATCCACAGACAGAAGGTGGTATAGCAAAATGGAAATGTATTAAAGAACAAGTACAGACTCCCACGTGGGGAGGGGGAAAGAGTCCCCCAGAATGGATTCCCACCTAGGGAAGAGTCCCACTGAGTTCCTTTTCCCTATGGCTTATAAAGGCTGCAGATCCTGGTGCCTTGATATCCCCTCTGATTGGTCACTATTCCATTAAACTGGTTACTATAGTAGCTCCTGGGCTCAAAGGTCAACCTCACATGGGACACGTGAAGTTCTCCCTCCCTCCCCCTCCTTCTTTATTGTTCTCCTTTTTCCTTTGGGTTT